AACATTTAAAACTCTGAACTCTATGAAATCTAACAAGTTTGCAGTGGGTTTAGAGAGCAGAGAAAATAGAGGCCTCTGTCCTTTTGTCTGAGGAAGTCCTCATTAGAGAGTTAAACCACAGTCTTTGTTAGGAAATGTAGTATTTAAATAACAATAGCAATGCTAATGGATCCATTTAGGGATGGACAATGGGAACCTGTAAGATGTTAATGGGTCACTGAGACTGTGAATAGCCTATCACATGAGTCAGCACAAATATTTGGCCAGGGAATTATACGATGCTGTTGTAAATGTATCTAGGAAGTGACATCAAGTTGATCGGCAGCCTAGACTATTGATGTTTAAATAATACTGTATTTGAATGACTGCTTGGATATATTGGGTCCGCATTTGATCAGTCTATTCCCATCCTGAATGTAGTTATTTTTAATTGATTAATTTCTTTCAAAGTTTTGACCACAATGAGCCTCATATCTTAACGTTTTCTACCTCACCTTTATGTATTGTAGGCCATCATTTGGACTAGCCATTATCTAGAGGTCTAACTGGACTAATCAGATAAAACAAATAGCAGTTGTGTTGTGCATGGGGCTACTTGTTCCTGGAGGATCTAAAGATGTTTGTATTACCCATGTCACATTAGGAGGAAAGGGAGAGTGCCTTGTCACCTCCTGGTGTGACACCATGGCTTAGTTAAATGAGGCCTGTTGCTTCATGGTGTTTATTCATACCTGAAAAGCACAAAGCAATCCATTAACACAGGGACAAAATGTCTACTGAGATGACAGCATGCTAAGGAAATGTCCTGCGGTTGAACCCACTGTGCTCTTAAGTTTACCACCACCATGCAAATCCCTAACTGGCCCTAGAGGACCACGAGAGGAGTGTGATTTTTACGTTTGAATTAACATCTGAGTGAGCTTGATTTTTATTTCTGCAACGTCACATGTGATTGAAGTGCATCCAGCAGGAGACGCACAAACCCCATTAATCATTTGATTCATGATACAAACAATAATCCACAAAGATTTAATGATTACTCCACATCAGAGCTGTATAGACAGGCTTTGCTGATGTATTATTTGTTGGCTCAATTCTGCACCACATAGGCCACATACTCACCCTCAACGACGCAGAAGGACTAAACCTTTATTTCAGATTGATTCAACACAGTCCAGTGTGGTCCAGGGAAGAGAGGGCACTTATTGTCCACTAAGGACTTTGCCACATTCATTTGAAGAGCAGCCCTCTCTCATTATTAACAGACACACTAAACGATGGGCCCCAAACAATGCAGAACAGATCCCTTTATGCGCACAAGTGCTCAACGTTTCGGCAACCACGGTGTGCCCTCCACCACTCCCTCTTCTTTTCAGATACCTGCACATAAGTGAAAGATGTGGAGGACACAAAAGATATTCTCAACTTTCCTTTTCTCCCCATTCTGTGAAACAGGCCCATTTTAAAGCTTTTATTTGTGCAAAGCCTCTCATTAACTCCGCTCATGCTGCCTCCCTCGGCTTGCCATTGCTTAAGTACTGGGTGTTGTAAAAAAGCTACCAATTAGTCCCTCATCAGCTCCAATTAGAGGAGACAAAGCCTGAGTAAAGATAACTCAATGAGAGGGAGAGGTGGTAGGGTGAGGGCTGTCTACGTGTGTTTTTTTGTGTGCGTAGGTGCGTGTGTGCGCTTGTGTTTGTGTACATGTGTGTAGCCCGGGGCCGGCACAACATAGTTTGTAATAATTGAAGAACTTGTGGCCATTCAGTCTGACCCACTACAGCACAGGTCCATTCACTCTCCAGGCTCCTCAGCAGACCCTTTTCTCAGGGCCAAGTGTTGTTGTGCTGGGAAGACAGGCCCCCCAGGAGTCCCAGAAAGAGAGCCATTCAATCCTCTCTACCTGTTTGCAGCATATAAAGCACTTAAGGCCAGGCCGATCTCTCATTATTGTCTCCTTCACTCTCAATACTTCCTTAAACTTAGGCCCCAACAAGAGCAAGCCCTTTTATAATAGAGGGAAATAGGGGATGTATGTTAAGGGGGTACCTTTCGCCTCATTAGAATTGAATTGGCACTGTCTTGTAATTACGTTGGAGGGCAACAATGTGTTTTTTTCATCATAATCTTCAATGAATGGGGGGTTTTTGGGGCAGTTAATTTGCTGCCCACACTAATGCATTAATTAATGAATTGGGTAACACTAATTTTCTCTATGCTGCGTCTCTCTGTTTGTTTCCTCCATCGTTTTCCAACAGTTCTGGGCAGCCGCTACTAATAAAATTACCTCATTAAGGACTTTATTGCAGCACAGTAACTCACTCATTCATTTGCTATTAAACATTTTCTTTGAAAGGGGGCTGGGTGTGTGAAGGTTCCCATTCAGGGTTGCATCTTTTTGTGGGTAGTTCTAAATAATGAGCTGGCCAAGCAGGGAGATATAATTAGGAACAAGGGGGCACTTCAGCAAATATTTGAAATCTTTTAAGGCTTGCCCGTGTATGATGGTGATTAATTACTTCCAGAAGGGATTTTAGAGAAATCTATTGCCAGGTTTTTTCTTTTCTTTTCCTGGACGAGATGACCCCAGCTTGTTAAAGAGATGTGCACAGGACTTTAATTTCGGCCCCTCTTTAATCAAATGCAAATTACATAACTGTTCTATGAAAAAAGGCTCATTGTGAAACAAATACACAATATGTAAACAGTGATGTAGTGTTTAATGAAGATGACATTTGGCTGTTTTGAAGGAACCTTTGGCATGTGCTGAAAAACGGAACAAATCTGTTTTTGTTTATGTTGAAATACAACTTTTGTTTTCGACAATTATGATGACTGAATTATTGGTTTTAGCACACAGCAAACACCATGGATGTTGTTTGATTGTAATGTTGCAAAACCAGCATTATTATTAATTACATAGACAGGCAAGTGTATTAAATGTGTATTTTACAGTTCTGGGGGCTGACAACCATGTGGTCAAACATCTTTGAGAGGAAATAGGTTAAATATTATAATGTGAATATCCATAATTTCAGTTATTAAGTCAGAAAAAAAAACAAGAAAACACACATTACCACGCCGAGTGAACATCTCCACAAAGCTTTATTCATAGTTGTGTTTTGATTATCTTCATGAGCTTCTGTGTGAACAACACTGCAAAGTTGAATGAGGTCACTGAACACTGTGTGCTGTGCATCATTCACAGGGATGTAATCGCACAGTAATACTGTATATGACTGGCAAATGACTGCCACCTAGTGGACTTAGTGGGGTACTGAATGAGTATCAGGGCATAGTGTACTGTGGGAGTATTCAGATCCTTAACTGAAGTAAAAGTAGCAATACACCACTCTTAAAAAATACTCAATTTCAAGTAAGTGTATTCAAAATGCAAGTAAAACCAGAGTGATAATCAACAGTAAAAAAAAAATCCTCAACCCAAAACCGCTAAAAAATAAAAAAAGGAGAAAAACGGCCTAACTCCACAATACAAGACTACATAGTTCGCAGTCTTTTATAATGTATTCAACAACTATTCAATGATATGTATACTGTGTTTGGAGAGAGATCACTGATTTTCCTTCACACAGACTTTAAAGTATTAAAAGTAAAAGTATTTATTATGCGAAAGGCCCCTTTAAGAGGGTTTCTTCTTATATTTATGTGTGACAAAAGGGGGTGACAACACTCCATTTATCACCATACGGCTTACTGATTATACCACCAACAAGTACTGTTAAATATAGTTATTCTTTATTGTTTCAGTTTCTTCCTTTATATGACATACCCACCGTGTGCTCCAGAAACAAGAGGAGGTGCCCAACCACTTCCTGTATTCATTCTCTGATGACCCTATTAGTGATGTTGCTAGATCAATAATGGGGTTGAGGTAAATGATGTTAATAAGTTATTTATGTTGTTTGCAATGTTTCCATATGTTGTGAATGTATATGTTATATGGTAATAAATGTAAAAGGTTTCTACTTGGAAATGAGAAAGAATATGTAACTTTATCACTTTCCTGTTGTTAAGGCAGGTATTATATTTACCTGCATGAATGGTATAGCTGAAATTGACTCCCACTGATAAGAGCATTTAAACAATTGCTTTTTATCTGTAAGGGGGACAAGATGTCAGTGTGTAGATGTGTGCACCTGAGGTTAGGTTGGACATCTTTGTGTAATTGGGTGCACAATATTTTAATGGTAATGTGAATAAAGCCATTAAATAAATATAGTGGAGTAAAAGTATAAGGCAGTAGCAAATCATACTACTAATTAAAGCACCTCAAAACTATACTCAAGAACTTACAGCAAAAATGAGCAATTTATCAGGTAAAAACAATGACAACAATAAAATGTAAGTTTTCTTAGCTGGAATCTTAGCTGGAAGCCGGTCAGTTGTCCCAGGTGGCTGTGAGCTTTTGGTTCCTTATTTTACATCAGTAAAGTTTTCAGTTGACCATCCTTGTTATGATACAGAGGTCCCATTAACACGATGCTGGAAAATACTATTACAGTGGTAAAATCTAGATTGTCTTTACATCTCTACACACACCTCTCCAGCTTAAAGAGATGTGCATGTAAGTTTTTTTATAAAGTTTTAACACAGTTTGCTTAGCTCTGTGTTAGAAAGTGGGAATTTCATTTCAAGTATAAGAATGGTTGGGATGCATTCCCTTTTTGACTTTTTAAGATCTGTCATGAAGACAAAACAGCATATTTTACACCGACAGACCCACAATCTGTTTTCTTTTGAATGTAGAATGAAACAAACCAGACTCCATTCTTAAACAATGGAGTTATAAAAAACAGAAGTACATAGACACAAGAATCAATAATAACAATTATAGAGTTTTAGAAGTTGAAATGACGTGTAAAATAAAAGTTCTCATATACTAATCTGACACATGTAATAAACCACTTTACGGTAAGCATCTGGAAAGCAAGTCACATGAAAGCCTTTGATTTGCTGATAAAAGAGACTGAAGCTTGACAGAGTGTTTAGAATTTTATTGCATGGTCTTGTTTTTCATAAAAATAAATATTACACCATCTTGTTTTGGTCAAGCTCCCGAGATTATATCTGCAGTTTCCCTTCATCCGAATAAAAGGACAGAGAAAGATAAAAATGTGAGTTATGAGCAAAAAGGACGAGGGTGAACAAAAAGGGGGTGAAACAACAACGTTTATGACTTCAGAAAAGTCCAAAAACCAGCTGGAAGCACAATGCCAAAACCTCATTCTCACTTCAGAGGCCAAGCATGTTCAGTTTCTTCCAGCTATGACTTCATAGGACTTCACAGCCTTCAGGATTTTAGTTAAAAGCGGGTAAACCAGAGTGACATTACTATGTATTGGTGTCATACTTTTAAAAATTTTCCAGAGATGATTTAAATGTTAAACATGCTTTTTAAAGCACATTTTAAAGTATATTAACTATTAAGTTATATAAGTAATTTATGTGTTAAATTATAGTTGCTTTATCGTGACAAACAACTATAATTTAATGCTTTACTTTTATAATATTTAACATTTAAAACATTTAATAAATGGTTTATAACAGTGGTTCTCAACTTGGGGTCTGGGGCCTCCTGGGGGGCCTTGGGGGGGTCCTCATAAAAACTGGGAATATACAAAATATACTTAATATACTAAAACAGAGCTGTTGTATTATAAAATATATCTTTATAGGAGAATAAATAGCTAAATACATGTACATCCATACACTTACAATTTCCTCATATCTGCTTACAACTACATTGTACAGTGTTTTCAGTCATTTTAAAATGTTTCTATAGGGGGGACTTAAAGTGTTACCATTTTATTGACCGGTTTTAATGTGACTCAAAATTTTTCTTGTGCTTATATTGGACGTTGTCCTTCTACACTGTGTAATAGTAACATTGTCATTAGGCTTTCTTGTTTTCTGCCGAGAAGAAATATCAGACTGATTAAGCATATTCTAATGAGTTAGAGATTCATTAATCAGCCATTTATTTCTCAGTATTATGGTTTAGCTGAGATGGAAACAGATGATCCGCTGTGGCGAAACAAAGGAAAAAAGTTGCTGAGTAAAGAACTTGATAATGTAAAGTGACCCTGCATTTTGTAAATGTCTTTGTCTCCCTCTGGTGGAGAACTATCAGTCAACTATTGTCCATGAACTTAAAATGAAGTTAGATGTCTTCATTTAGACACACAACAGACTTCACAATTACTGGGCAGCATCATCACTTTGTCCACCCATTAAAGCTCCGAACTGACAATTTTCCGCTGCTCAGGACTTAACTGAGCATATGAAATATCCTAATAATCCTTTTCCATCATCCTGCTTTACAACTGACAACTGCACTGTTCATTTTCATATTGTCACTCCAGATGCTAAACATGAATACCATTATCTGCCTGATAAAATTAGGTTGACACTCACATTAGTCAGGTCTCTGTATTGGCTTGTGTGTTTTACACATTTTTTGACACTTCACAGACCATATAATTGACTAACTGAAAATATATTCAGCATACTAATTGATAATAAATTGCAAATGTTAGTTGCAGCTTTATAAATTACTGCTGTTTATCGATGGGTGTGACAACAGCAGTGATTATGAATTAGAAAAAAATTAATGTGAGGCAGCAATGCAAAGTATTCCTTTCCATCTTCTTCTGTTATTACTTTGCTGCCATAGCAACTGGAAATTACAGTAAGATGTCACACAGATGAGGACTTGGTCACAGTGCAAATTCTTAATGCCTCAATCCAACATTTGTGGTGTGTTAATCCCCCTTGTGAATTTATGAATGATAATGTCAATTGATTCATCACTAAGGTATTGGGTGTCTCACTTTATTGTACACTATTGTGTGAAATTGAATAAAACACTGTCTTAAAGTAATGAGGTAAAAACTGCTTTCATGAGAGACTTGTTTAATGTGCTGTGAAAGAACCATATGTTTCTGAAAATATCAAATAAAAAAAAACATGCATTTGCACAGTCTACTCATTTTGTTAAAAAATATTCAGTCTCATATATCTTACAAAAATAAACATCTGTGATGAAAAAGCATACAGTACATTCTGTTTAAACAGTTAAATAAAAGAAACAAACCACTTCAATATTTACTCCTGACATTAAGTATTTAAACCTGCCCTCTTTAAATATTCCAGTCAAAGTCTGTTCTCTCTTGCACTGGTTTTCTCTTCCTGTTCCTCTTGGACCCTCCGCCTGTTCGAGGTAGAGATTCCTTGTAGTCCTCACCTGAGCCTGTGTCCAGAGTGTCCTGGTTGTCCCTCCAGCTGTCAGGGACCGCAGGAAACTCCTCCCCTGGAGAGTGCATCGGCCGACCGTACACCTTGCTCTGCAGGTCAGCGATGTCGTTACGGATGTCGGCCATCAGCAGTAGCAGGAAATCAAAGGATCCTGGTGGACCCTGGGGGTCAAGTCCAACAAAAACAAACGATTCAAAAAATATTTATTTGTTGATTTAGAAATTATTAGTGGACACATAATTGAAGTTATTCTCCTGCTGCATTTAATGGAAGATTCCATTTCTTGTTATTCAGAAGCCACAGAGGAGATTATTTCAACAAAAGCCCAGCTGATCAATGGACTGTCTATGACTGGCCACTGGCTGGTGAGCTTTTTCTCAAGATTTGTAAACGTTAGCATCAACAGTGTTTATCTAAAGGGATAATGCTTACTCTGTACTGGATGCTATTTACTTTGAGCTTGACAGTATCATCAACTGTGTCGTTTAATGTCCAGTGTGCACAGTGGTCTGTTTTTCTGCTATGCTTTAGTTTAACTGTATTGTTCAGTATAATGGTAACAAGTTACAATAGTGTGGCATCAATATAGAAGTCCAGAATCTTACTGGTGGTCCGACAGGCCCAGGAGCTCCTCTATCGCCCTGGGGAAACAAAACAAATATTTAGCTTAGATGAATTACAGTAGGGAGAAAAAGCACGAGAAGAATTCCTATTATTCTATTTTGGGAACTTTCTTAAAGAGCAAGAGGAAGAGAGAGAAAACTGATCTCTCAAATGCCTAATTGATAAAAAAAGAAAGCATATTATTTTATGTTTAAAATCAAATTCAATTTTGTACTATTTCCATGGCCAGTTAAAGTAAAAGTAAAAGTTGACATTTTGGGAAATATTTGTATTCACTTTCTTGCCCAGAGTCAGAGGAGAGGGTCTCTTTCATATCTGTGTGTTAAGTATGGCACTGCAGCTGGCAGGTGATCGTCTGAGCTTAGCATCAAGACCAGAATCAGGGGGAAACACACCTAACCTTCATCTCTAAAGCTCACCAATGAACACATTGTACCTATTTTATTCCATCCATGCACCAAACTGAAAATGTAAAAACACAAGTGATGGTTTAACAGGGAGTTAAGTGCTGTGATGACATAACTAATAGTTCTAGGATGCAACTCTGTAACTTACGTTGTCATTACAATTTTATTTTTTTGTACGGTTTAAACAAACAACATGTTGATTAGTGAGCTTTAGTGGCTGATAGGCATATTTTTGAACTTTGGAAAGAGCCAGTCTTTATGTTAAGCTAAGCTAATTGAATCTCTGCTCTAACTCAATCCAGTAGTTAAAGCAGAGACATGAGAGCGGTATCGATCTTTTAATCTAACTTTTGGCAAGAAAGAAAATAAATGTATTTCCCAAAATGAAGAACTATTCCTGAAACTGTGTCCTGTGTATGTTAATATAAAAACTAAACATACTGTATATGTCACCTGACTGAAGACTCATGGCAGCGTGTTGACCTACGGTAGCAACCACACACATTGACCTGACTACTGTGGTTGTTAGCAGGCTCAGGGTCACACTGGGGCTGTGAGTGTTTTGGCAGATGGTTTGGATTTGTTACTCAGAGAGACAGATTACCATCACCCTCCAATCTATCCACACAAACATCCTGGCTGTACTGAAAGAATACCAAGGTACTACGTCAATAAAGAAGATGCACCTAAGTTATTCCATACGTGATCCACCAGCAAAAGCAAACAGCCTTACGGGTATAACAAGATCCAAGAGCCAGTACAAGACCGGAATCTCTTCAGATTTTATACCTCCTACATTTCTTAGTCAGTGTGGCTCATCATTCTTTAATCAATATTGAGTAAAATCACAATAATCCTGAAAAAAACCTGTATTTCTGTAAATAACTAGCAACAGGTTGCACATTTCATCCCTTACGATGGAGTGTTTTTATGATCTCAATTTTAGTTTAGTTATACCGTCAAAAACAGATTCCTGTCTAATTACAATTACTTTTAAGTTTGATAAAGTCTCCAAATGAGCCATAAATCAGCTTCCCGAACTACCTCCACTGGCTGCTCATCCTGCTGTATCACAACTTCAACTTGCCATTGCAAGCCTTGGCACTGAGCAGGGGAACCATACCACTCTCTCCGCACAAGCAACGGCTCCAAAGCACTGCAGAAGTCTGAAGGCCAAAACAACATCTGCACACAGCAAAATGCCATCGTATTTTTCTGACCTCAGCTGCTCTTCCATTTTCTTTTTGTGACTATTACAAAATGAGAGTGAGCAAATCTGGTTTAATAGAAAAAAATGTGAAAAATGCAAACACAAATCTCACTGTAACCCGGGTGAAGGCATTGTGCCTCCTAAATCTGAGGCTTAACCATCTGCCGGAGCCTCTTCTTTAACACGTTGCCCTAGGCTCCTCTGGGAGGCAAAGCAGAGAAAAACATTCCAGTTAGCCTTTTGAGAGATGGTTACTACCTCCCGTCAGCCAATCCAAAGGCACTTTTCACAAAATCCATGTGATATTCCAGACAACCGCAACAGCCCGGAGGTATCCAGAGTCTTCACACTGGTGGTCAGGAAGAAGCTACTGTGTTGCCACTTGAAAAGACTAGCTGTTGGCCTCAGCTCCCTTCTGACTAAGTTTGAAGGAGAAACTTGTTTGCATTTGAGAGAAATCATCCTTAGCAGAGGTTTTATTACTCCAAACAAACAGAGATCCTCTGGTAGAAAAACAAACACAGGAGTACTTTCAGTGCAAGACTCATTCCACCAAGATGCACCACAGAACGTCACAGGAAGTCATTCCTGCCTGTGGCCATCAAACTCTTCAGTGTCAGACACTCAGAGTCATTGTCATTAAACTGCAATACTTTATTCTGTCACTAATACTGCTTTTTTTAAGGATTCAGCTCTCATTGTCAGTACTCATTAATATTTATTCATTACACTTGTCACTTACACTGTCTTTCATATACTGTAGCATACATACATTTCCATCTTCTATATATTGTATTATAATGTACATACTTCAGATTATCTCTATATTATTGTTAGATATTGTAATACAATACATATTTTTAACTGCCTTCTTCTTAATCTTATTTCTATTTCTTTAATGTCTTGTGAGTGTCTTGAGTAACTGTAACAAATCTAATTTCCCCTGGGGATCAATAAAGTATTTCTGAAGTCTAATTAAGCAATTACACAATTATTTTTACATACATGGTGACTCAGATACCAAAAACAATCCTCTGCTTGTGTTCATATTGAGAAAATATTCTACCAAATCATCACTCTTTAGTCTGAGTCCAATAATGATTCCCAACAAAAGCTTTAAAATTGTGCAAATTGCTTTTTGCCACATCAATTTTCTTCTCCCAACTTGTACCAACTTGCAGTAAATAAAAACTCCAGCTAAGGATTTGTGAGAATCCTGGCACCTGCCTTGTGGTTTCACCCTGTATTAATCTGGTGAAGTTGAAAAACTATTTAGCTATTGAGAAATATCTTTTGAGAGACATGGTGTTGGCAGATAAGCCAACTCTGATATCTTTCCTTTGATAGAGGCCATGTTCAGGGAGCCAAGAGTCAAACTCTGCTGCCAACATGAATGACTCCTGTGCCGTAGGGGCAATGAGGTGGACCTTTGTTCTACAATGTGCAATTGAAAAAAAGTCTCTGCCTTTTATAAAGAAGTTGTGTTTAAAAAATGAATACACAGATTAGGTGACAAAACAGCATCTGACCTCACCTTTAAGCCGTCTTTTCCTGGAGCTCCTGGAGGCCCCTGTTAGATGACAGAAATAACTGAATTTCAAATCTGTTTCAATTATTTTTACAGATGTATTTGAGTTTCTGTTAACACTGCAAAAACGTACACCTCAGCTGGAAACTGTAAAGTCCATAACTGTGAATTTAAAAGTGAGTGTGTTTCTCTGCGTTGCACCCAAACAAAAATGTGTTAATGTTCAATTCACTGTTTTCACAGAAAACTTCTTTACTCTAAATCCTTTTAAATTCAAAACTGACATCTCCATCATGCTCCACCAACAACGATTATCAAAGATTAACTTTGTGCCTGCCTCCAGTCCATTTCTGAGTGACTTCAGCTCGATGGTAGAGAGTGCTTTGATCTCTTTCCTGGGATAATCATCATTAAAGAAGTCTGAAGACATTGTATAGGGAGTAGGGCCAATATTCAGATCTGTATCAAGCCTGTGAGTCACACACTATACCACATTCATCATCTGTGAGTCCCTGACTTGCAGTCAAACACGTGACCTGGTGGCCTAACCTCCTAACTGTGCTCAGAATCTAATCAGGTTTTTGTGCAGACAAGGACAACTCCTGTTTAGTCAGAAGACCTCCCCATGTGAATAAATGTATTAACAGGACATGAATATAAAGAGTTGTAAATTAAAACACACATTCAAATGTCACACACACAAAGCAATAGATCACTTTCAACTGCAAAAACAGTGTTCTAGATTTCTTGATTTGGTATCATGCAGCTGTTGATATGACCGATTGCAAGTGCTGATGGTCTGATTTATCAAAAGTGAGATTGCATAAATACTCAGGCTTTAAAAACCAGAAAATATGTCTCTATGGCCACATCCTGCACATTCTTGATTCAGATCCCACACTTTAACACGGAGGAATCACACTCGCAGGCAAGACTGAGCGCTGCACAAAGACGCAGCGAGCCAAAGAAAACAACTAAAGCTGTAAATGGATTCAGCCTTCTCTGTTGTTATTGCCACGACCATGTGTCTTCCTTTTTCACCCTGCAAAAATGTGGGTTTCTTTAAGAGGGTGCACGATAGGATGTTTTTTGTGTCTTTCTGAAATGTGTCAGTTCAGGAGACACCTGGGTGCTCCCTACTCATGCTGCCTTCATAAAGATAGATCACAGCTCTCCTGAGGCCTGTCTCACAGTGCAGGATTACTAAATTATCTGAATCATTTCGGTGAATAAAACCCGGAATCCCATAAAATCTGCAACACAGACAAAAACAAAAAGAGTCTTTCCAGGTTTTACTCCATTCAGGGCTGTTATCCAGAAACATTAGGTAATTCTGCTGTGTGACACAAAGCAGAAGTGTGGAAGTGAACCAACAGAAAACAAAGGCAAAGATGGACGCAAGAGACTGGTTTTCTGTATACATGAATTACTCAGAGCAGTCACGGTCAGAACACATACACATTCATTATTGCTCATTCAGAAGCGTATGCTTTAGTTAAATTGTGTATAAAATGCTGAGTAAAGGTGTCTATTTTTCTGGGATTGATTGAAAAAAGGTATATATTAACTGACCACGGGTCCTCGGGGGCCCCGTTTGATGTGGGACAGGTCTGGTGTGGGTCCAATGGGTCCCATCAAGCCCCTGGGGCCAGGAGGTCCAGGTGACCCCAACAGTCCTGTATGTCCTGGAGGACCCTTCGGTCCTGGATCTCCTAAAACAATCCAAACTGATATTAATGAACTAAAGACAACTGATCACAAAAAAGGTCAAATAGAATATATGACTTTTGTAGAATAGATGAAATACTTTTTAGATTAGAGAGCAATCTTGGTCTGTCGATTGGTCCACCACTTCAGTCCAGACTGAAATATTTTAACAACAATGACTGCTATGAAATTTCAATCCATAGACTATTCCTCTAGTGCCACCAGCAGGTCCAATTTTACACTTATTTGGTGAAACATCTCAACATCTAATGGATACACTGGCATACCACTTTGTACTGATATTGTTGGCTCCCGCATGATGAATTCCAACAACTTTGGTGACTTTTCCTCTAGTGCCACCATGATGCCCACCATGATGTCCACATTTGTGGTTTTGAGTGAAATGTCTCAACAACTAATAAAGGATCACCATGTAATTTGGTACAGAGATTCCTGCCCCCCTTGTGATGAATGGTAATAACTTTTGTGATCTCTTAACTTTTCATCAGGTGCCATCACCAGGTCAAAGTTATAATTCGTCCAATACTTTGTTTAATGACCAAACACCTGCAAAACTAATGACATTCCCATCAGCCTCAGCTGTACTTTTTGTTTAGTGTTTCATATCATCCCTGCTGGATACAGGCCAGTTTCCTTGCGCAGTCTGACACTGTTTTATTAGTTTTAGCTTCATGTGTTTTACCTGGAGGACCAGGGAGACCTGGGGGCCCTGGTAGAAATATGGGAGATGTCAGGATTTTCTCACTGGTCATCTGCTCAGGGACATCAGCACTGCTTGACAGCATGGCCATCTTGAATTGGGATGCAGAAAATAATGAATGAGTTAACAGGTCAATGAGAAATCAACTACAAATAATTAAAAGGTGATATATCAAAATAAGAACAAAGCCAAAAACATTACACACTCTCACATGGGATAAGAATCCTTTTTTCCTTAATTTGGAAGTGACATCAAACATGCAAATGTTTAATTTCCCCATTTGGTTGTCTTTCCTAAAATGGTTTTACATACATTGATTCATAAAATCCTGCACTGTCGAACAGGACAAGAAAATTACACAGTGAAGGGTCAACGTCAAGTAAAATTATGTTAAAATTATATACCCTGCCTAAGATGAAAGCTGATCTTCCATCTGCACCACACTACAAGCTGTAACCTAAACAGATGGAGGGCCAGGCAACCCCTCTGCATTATTCAGCAAGACCAGGAGAGTTCCTGCTCTGGATGTTAAGTGGCATCCTTGGGAAAAATCATCTTTGATCTCTGTATAACATCATGTGGATCTGACAATCCCGGAGGGAAACACGCCAAAGACCTCGCTATACTGCAGGGGCCTACAAATCAGAATTCATGCGCACAGACGTAGAAGCATATGTCCACCCACCCACCCACACACACACACACACCAACACCCACACCCCACACACACACACACACACACACACACACACACACAGAGCAAGGTCATGGTTCACCTGCTGATCAGTGAGCATTATGCAAGACTGTAGCCTGTGACCTTGGGCACAGGTGTTTGAACCACTGTGATCCTAAATCCTCTAACCTTCCCATGCTATGAATAAATGAGAATATACTTTCTCATATACTGCAATAATACACAGTTTTTTCATTTTTGTTTTCTTAATATATTAACACTAAGAAAAAGAGATTAATATAGAGTATAGCTGCAGGAGCACTTAGACCACACAGCTGGAAGCAATATATAATGTGTTACAGTCGAGGGTGTTGAGTGCCACTGTTGACAGACTCGTGCTCAGATAGGTTCAGACGTCTGTGATTACACAGAGGGAAATGTAACCCCACTGTTGAGTTTCACACAAATTACCCAACAATTCCCACTTATGGAAGAAATCTACCAGCTACAGTACTGTAAAGGAAGACATTTTTTATTAGGAAATAAAGTGTTGTAATAAATCTCAAGAGACTTTTAAAGATCTGCCTGCTGTTGTTTCTGACATACTCTCAGGTATGAACTCCACAGAGATAAAGTGAAATTTTTACATGGTGATAAAGAAACAAAGCATTTCTGCAGATTTTTACATTCAGCTCAAATAAGAAGGTGTGTTTAGTGCTCACTGGGGCCTTTCTGCAGTCAACCAAAGAGTAATAGAAAAAACAGCAGGATTGAAGGATGCAGGATTATGATTTAAGATAAAAACAGTGTAGTTTTGTTATTTTCTGACCCCTACCTTCTGTTTAAGCTGCAGGACAGACATCTTGATCTGGAGGAAATCATCACATGTGGCTGAGCAAGTTCCAGCATTCATCACATTGTCAGATTTCTCAAAAATATGCACTGCTGGGAATACGGAAAAAAAAGGGATTGTCACAATATTTATTGGAAAAGTTTCAGAAAAAAAGAAAACATTTTATCACATTGTTTATGAAGTATGTGGACAGATTTAGCATTGTTTGGGCAAGTATGTCTTAAAAAGTGCAAATGTGCAATGAATCATTTTCAAAAAACAAAATTACAAAACTGTAAGAGTTGATACTCTTGAGTCACACACTGCTATTCTGGTGAAAGTTTGATGGGTTGTTGCAAACTGTGTGAACTAACTGTCTGTTTAGGGGATGAGTGAGTTATACAGTGCAGGATAACTCTGTAACACTGTCATTTATGAGACCCAAATGTTCTGGGTGACTCAAAATCCTTGAGTTAAGACAGGTCTAGTAAATGTATCAGAGCATCAGGGAAGACTAGCGCAGAACTAATGTCTGACTACTGGCTCTGCTGGAGGTGAAATAAAGCAATATAATTACATACCTTCATATTTGAACATTGTCCTGAGGACAAAGTTCTAGAATTGACTCTTTAGCCAGAAACCACATTAAAATATTTAAGACAGAAAGTTGCACAATCGTGTAAAGAGAAAGAACATGAAAAGCACGGAGCTCACTTGGTCTCCTGGTTTTGTCTCTGGTCTGTAATAGAACGGTCCCTACTCTATAAATGCATATACTGTATTTTATGGATGAGTGAAAGTATCTGGACACAATTTTCCCCACTATACAAAGCAGCGGGACATAAAGCAGGAACATGACTACATGTACCACCGTTTCTCACTCTCCAGCTTCTCCTGAAATGCTATAGTAGGTAATGGAAGATATACTCATGGGAGGAAGTAGCAAATCTACAGCCCCTGACCGCTTCATTGGCAACTGAATTGGGGGCAAAGAACCCCAACTTTATTATCACCTGAACCATTTGTGATGTTTTCCTGAAATAAATCCAGCAAATCAGATACGACCAGGAGTCATGGGGGCGGTGGTATGTTTGGGAGACAGAACTGTTCTGACGTGCACAAGGAGCTGAGATTTAAATTACTACCAGGTGTTTATGTTTGCAGTACCCCCATCCTCCTTTCTCTCTCTCTCTCTCTCTTCACACACACACACACACACACATGCACACACACACACACACACACACACACACACACACACACACACACACACACACACACACACACACACACACACACCAAATAACAATGTGTGGTCAGCCCCACATCACAGTCAGATGTCACCTTGAATAAAGAGAGAATGTCTGTGTAAAAATACTGTTCTCACCTCTCTCCCCCTTGGTGCATGTTTTCCCATCTTCTTCCAGGAAATAGCCTTTCTCACACTCACACCTGTAGCTCCCCACAGAGTTGACGCACATCTGAGAGCACACAGTCATGTTTTTGTCTGCACATTCATCGATGTCTATATGATGCAATGAACAGAGACACAACAAGACAGATCAAAGAAAGACAATCTAAAGTTAAGTAACTAATATATATATCCATTAACATGCACATACCCAATCATTTTTGAAAACAGAGAAACACAATTGTCAATTGAGAATGGATTAAAAGTCAAAATAAACCTAAAATTAGTCACGTTGATGCTTTCTAACACTTTCACCTGTTACAAATGTCAGAAGGTAAAGCCTTGTTTTTAATAAGGAATTTGTGTTACAAGGTCTCACCCAGACAGTAGGGCTTCTCTCTGTTTCTGTGGCGCTCACGGTCATAGCGGTAGCCGGGGTAACAGGTGCACACCACCCGACCAAAATGGTCAGTACACTGTTGCTCACAGGGGGCGCCAGCACATACATCATAGTCTACAGAAATAAATGAGGCATTTCATCAGTGTAAACACAGGAAAACACAAGAGGGAATCTCATATCCATCTACACTATCATTTTTTTTTCCCAAGCCAAAACTTCAAGCAACATGCCTGTCATGGGTTGTTAAACAAGAGAAAGTACAGTATGGCAAAGGACTAAAGATCTTATGGGACATGATGGGAGAGAATTCAAAAATCACAAATACACAAGACAGACATCCAAACAGTTTTCCATACCTTCAGGAATGCACTGGCCCAGCACAAACTTGAAGCCCTTGCAACATTTCTTTCTGTAACACATCAAATGGACATCCATCCAAAAGACAAATCAAATCACATAATAGGTTCCATATAATGTGCATAATGTTTGACATCTTTAATAAGGATCTACAGAATTTGTGGTGATCCAGTGATTCTGTCTGTTTTTACAATTGTGTTTGTTAATGTGGGAAACATGTTTAAGAACATTAATGTGGCCAGACTACACACACACACACACACACACACACACACACACACACACAGATACTGCTGTCTGCAGCTCTCATTGCTGTGTCTGGCCTTCTATTGCATGTTTGTTCATGTCTGATGACATTCCTCTGAATTATGGCTAAAATCCCACATCAGGCTGACTATGCTGACTGTGTGGCGTTTCTGTTACATACGTTTCTTTCCTGCTCACTTGTATACGTCTTCTTCCCTTTTCATTTCATTTCTAAAGCTTTCATTGTAATCCAAACATCCACACTCAGATTTTTTCACTCTTTATCAATATAGTTTACATCTGTGTTTGTTAGGTGAGACAACTTGATGAGACAATGTGAAGCAACAAACTAATGAGCTTTCCATCAACATCTTCTCTGTTGCGTAATTTCTTTCCTCATCTGTGCTAGGTTGTATTCATCCCATCTCCACAATAACATATTGTTCCAATATGTTTTTATCTGCACAAGTCACATCATCATGAGGTAATATTCATCCCTCGCTCGCACTGGGCTCCAAGGAAAAGTGCTACCAGGTGTTACTTTCAAACAGGAGGTGATAAAAAAAAAAAAATCCAATTACACCATGAAGTCATGGCAATATAGTGCAGTCAAACTCACTTTGATAGTGGCACTGAAAAAGATTACTCTGTAATACTTTACAGCTTTTATTCCGTGCCAGTTACGATGATAGGGACATTCCTATGGGTCTGTCTGGTAATTTCATATTATGAAAGCTCTCCCTCGTCTGCTCACTAGCATTCAATTGATTTAATTAATGTATTCATTTATTTTATGTAACTGCGAATGATTACTTTGCACTCAACCAGGTCACCCATAGGAAAACAAGACTAAGGGGCAAATTCACCAGAATTCAGAATGGATGCAGCCTCTGACTGCACCATGAACTGTGCATTACTTGCCACCCACCGGCCCCCCCCACACACACACACACACACCCATAAGGTTCTGCAGCTGAGTACAATTTGCCCTTGTTTTGTGTCTGTTAAATGTTCATCTGCATTTTTTTATAGTGGTTCCAGTAATATTTGTTCTAAAGTGCACCGAAGTAGAAGATCACAGGGCAAGGCACCCCTTCTAAATGAGTTTCAGTTAATACCAGCTGTCTGAAGAAGCAAATAAAGTCACTCCAACTGAGTGCGGTTACTTAATGTTAACATGCTGATGTTTAGCAGGTATGATGTTTATAATATTTACTAGTGTGTTAACGTACTAACATAGGCTCATTAGCACTAAACACATCATGAGGTGTGTAAATGTGATGAATGTGTAAAGAAAGTGTCCTGAAGCACTAAACACAGCTAATTGGCAGGAAATCAACGTATTTGCACAAATTAAAAAATTTGACCTGATGATGGCGCTAGATGAAAAGTTATTAATGCATCCTGAGGGGAACATATATGTGTTCATGGCAATCCATCCAAAAGTTGTCAAGAAATTTCACTCAAATCCACAAATGTGAACCTCATAGTGGTGGTAGAGGAAAAGTCAGAGGACCAACAAAGTCAGTGGGATTCCTCCTCTGGAGACCACGAATCTCTGTGAAAAATGTAATTGCAATTCATTCAATAGTTGCTGAGATATTTCAGTCTGGACCATAGTGGTGGACTGACAACTGACAAAACTGTCTGAATTCCAGCTCCTAAACACTACAACACAGGAGAAATAAAGAGATACACATGATACACAAGGAAATCATTTGGGGGAATGTTGTGGAAAACTAGCAGACATTGTTATCTAAAGACAGTTAAACTGACAGATATAAGATTGATTTCTGAGATCTTTCTCTTAAATGGCCCATTAGAGACTTGGAAAAGAATGAGGGTATATCACAGTAATACATTTTGAAACCCAGAATCTCTGAGTTTCTCATCTTATTACAGTAAGATTTTCCATTTGCTACTTCCAATTCTATTTATGAATGAAATGACCCATCTATAAAAAGGTCACACTACGTGCAATAACATCATCACAGAAATATAATCCGTTGTAAAACAAAGTAAATCACTGACACTGCACCACTGCAATCTAATGGGTCTACCTTCTACAGTTGACTGCTTTTACAGTCATTTTGATGGGTACAGGATATACAGAGCAGCCAAGTCCTTATTCTCTCACACAACTGAATATTTACTACCTGAAGAGGAGCCATAATTAACTTGAGGGACCCACTGAAGGATATTAACCGGCAGCAATCTCGTTTCAAGTCTTTGCTGACACTCACCACCATAGCTCCTGCAGTTGTTGTTAATGTAGAAGAGGAACAGTGACCACTAAGGAGAGCCTCTATGAGGTGAGAGCAAGCCATGTGTAGTGCATTTGTGATTTTATGCATCTTATTACACTGTGTGTGTGTTGCTGAACAAAACTTCAGAGAAGCAGCACAGTATTATAGTATTTTCATCTTTGTTGAGCAAGATTCTTGCGCTAAAGGAATGAAACGCCTGTCCCATATAGACACCTGTCTCCAATAAAGTCAGGGTGAGTTCAGTGATTTAAGCAAAATAAAAGCCTGGGCTATTATTAGAAGTTTTACGGTAACCTAGGCACTTTCATTTCAAAGCTTCTGAAATGAGTAGCTTTTGTGGCTTAGGCTTAAATGTTTCCATTTAATTCTCAGCCGCACTAGAGTCTCTGAGTCTTTCTTCAACTTCCTTAACACTGGTAAAAGTCTCTACTGGTCTCAAAAACTTGAACTAGGAACGTAAGCACCCACTCATTCTTCTTGCACCATAAATTGTTTTATAAATCTAGGATATCTATTATGCATTGAAGTACTGTATGTTTTTAGATAAGATAACTATACAGTAAAATGTATCACTGAATGTCAAACTGTGGAAAGTTGTCTCCATGTCTGTCTTTTAATGTGTGTAAGTTAATTACATTTCAGCATAGGTTGTGGTGATTTGGGATGGGAGAGGCTTTAACTATGAGAGCTGATCTGAGAATGGTTTCCTGTGTGACCCAATATTTCACGTCACAATAACATCCCCAGGAGGACAGAAGGCACTTACAGCAAATAACCAGCTTAGCAAAATAACCACGGTTAGTTGACCAATCATGAGAAAACAAACATCTATGTCCGTCTTCAGAAGATCATGAAACAGGCAACAACATCCCATGGAAACTGGATCCATAACTGTGCTGAAGTTCAATTTTAGTCAACTGTATCTTTATTAAATTACTCAGAAATGCTTATTAGCCCTATAATATTCTACTTTATTATACTTTCACTCATTATATCATTAAATAAACACATCTAAAATCTGAGTGATATTTGGTTACTTTGCAGATTAAAGCACTTTTAAAACACAATTACAGTATTATCTGGCATTTTCCATTCATACAAACTGATTTAATTTAAAATTGTTGATATCTCGTGTTGTCCCTTTGATAACCTTCTATATTTTGACACATGGACATGAAAACAGGCAGACTGGGAGACATCCAGAACCGAGATGGTATGGTATGGCCTGTCTACAAGCTCAAACAACATACATAAACATAAAGAATCTGGGTGAGGGATATGAAGCTTAAGGTCAGTGCACTAAAGCAATAAAATAACCTCAAACCAACTATTTGATTTATAACCTGGGGGTGGAAAATATGTCAGGTCTTTGATATAAAAGGTCTCAAGAGATAAACTGCTGATACATGAAAATAACATTCTCATCCCATACCAGAGGTGTATAGCTATTTGTAAGTATGTGCTTAGTTGGAGTTTCCATATACTGAAATGCTGATACTTGAAAATATACATTAAAACTGTTTTACATTTGTTTTTACTGCCTGGTAAAACACTTTAAGTGTTATTGTCCAGTTAGAAGAACTGCAGTCATACTTACATACTTGAGAGAGATTTCTGTCGAATGACATGTTGTGGCAATGGTTAAGGCTGCAATTAGTGATTGCAGTCCAAACACACCTTTCCAGTATGGTAAGTGTTTAAGTTGCTTGGGGTGAAATTGTAATGTTTCCCATGGTGAGGGCCAAGTTAACTGTTTAAAAAGTAACTTTTTATAAATGCAAGCCAGCCTCTGCTTGAGCACACCAAAGCTTAAATCGAAAAAGGATAGAATTCTTTCCAAACAGCTTTGTCTATATTTAAACAACCGTCTGAGTCAATATCTGGCATTGACTCTCAAAAAGCTATTTAGCAGTCCACCTCAGCTCTGCTCACACTATTTGAACAGCAGAAACAGCTCAGATTTAAATCACTCTCCGCAATGACACACTAGGGGACAGTCAAAGAGCACGATGTGAATGTTTCTTTGTTGTTTTATTATTTAATAGAACAACTACTATCCCAAAAAAATTAAGCATGGATAGTTAGAGATAAAGCCCTTTAGAATATTCAGTACACAAAACAAGACCACGCTGAGGGATGATGCACAGGGCCCTTAGCACCTTTCATAACAACAGCTAAGAATACAATCCTATGCAAGCTTGTTAGTTGCTCATGTATTTCATGCAAATGATCAAACAAATTCAAAACACATGTGGATTTCATTCATATTCATGAGTGAGAGAACAAGGAGGGACGATATCCCAAATGCATTCATGACATTTTTTTTTTTACAAGAATATCAATAGGAAGAGTCTGTAGAGTCGCAAAGCCCCATACAATACCAGCTCGCTGACTGATATTTAACTTGAGACACAGTGAGTCCTGAACTTGTTCAAAATGAGCGGGACATCACAGACAATCTGACTGTTTTGCCACCTGTTTTTTCACCTAAAGGTTATTTTATTTTGCCGGTGATACATATCATTTTACAGGGGCCCCT